GGAGAAGGGAAGCTAGGCTGGCGGTGCAGATCTACACGGGCCATGGCTTCTAACTAACTACCACATGCAAAAGATGGGGCACAGTGATAACCCGAAGTGCAGGAAGTGCGAACACGAGGAAGAAACCTCTCTCCACGTGTTATGTGAATGCCTAGCGTATGCAGGACAAAGGCGGCTTCTTTTGGGCTCGATATTTCTCGAGCCTGAGCAGGTATGTCAACTCCAGGTCAGGGACCTCCTCCGTTTCTGGAGGAAGACAGGTCTGATCTGATCTGGAGATAGTACGGCCGGGAAGACACAATGAACCTAGTCTACGTGTCGTTGGCGGGCCCCAACTGGCGGCTGCTTCCCGAGCTTATTATTATTATTATTAGTATTAATTTTTTAAATAACTTAATATAGTAATAAATAAATATAGACCTTATAATAAATTAATATAGATCTTATTTACCTTTAGAGGTACCGATTAAAAATCCTTGTTCATCATAAATGAAATCATTTGCATCACAATCTATAAAGAAAGTGCTTTTTTTCCTCTTCATTGTTTTTTGAACTTACAAATGCACGTATTTTCCAATACACGGTGTTATCCGGTAACGAGTTAACGATGGAAGATGGTACAAAAGTTCTTGTACCTATACACCAATTTTCAAGTGTTCCGTTGAAATAGAACACATGCACTATTTTGCAGTGACATCAATTCCGGCAAATAAAACGTAAATTGTTCTGCACCTTGCACTAGGTACAGAAAGTGCATGCACCGTCGTCAAAAAGAACATATATATGGAAGATGGGTAATTCAAAACCCTTGCGCACAATTGCCCGCTGCGACCTGACTCGATATGAAATACGATTACTTCAATACTTCCTAATCAAATTTAAGGGGGGCACCTCATGTAATAAAAAAAATCGTTTTACAATAGTTCAACATCTTAACGTTCTGACCGTTATGGCGCTTCTTAATTTAAAATTATTAATAATTTAACTCACCAAAAATATGTTCCTTGAGTTTTAGAACGAAATTCGAAGAATTGACGTAATTACAGACGATTTTATTGCGGACCGTCAAGTAGGTAAAGCACCGAGCGCGCGGTGCGTCCCCTTTGTCGACCCTGAGGGTACCATTACATGAAGCGTGGAAACGCGGAAACGCAGAAGACAAAATTAAGGGTTCCTACCCATGCAGCAGAATAGCGTAACGCGGAACGAGAGTGGAACCAATCACAAGCGTTCTGCACCAACTGCAATTGATGCGGAATGCTTGTAATTGGTCCGCTGCATGGGTTTTCACCCTAATAATTCGATTCCATGAGGCTGCCTTTCCATGGAGAAAAAACCATTAAAAATTAATAATTTCTAATTCTCCGTTCCGTTTTTCTACTCAAATTGTGCTCCATGTAATATTAAGAGATAAAACAGGCGGAACAGAACGCGCGAAAACGCTGAAATTTAGTAAACTTTAGTTAATTTTGTCTTTCGCGTTTCCACATTTCCGCGCTTCATGTAATGGCACCCTAAGGCTTTGAACATAACTGGAATATTTATTTTGTGCATCCTATAGAAACATTATACTCTATAGTGTGTACATTCAAATTTACTTTATGGGCCCGGCATAGCAGATTAGCTATAAGTACTCGAAAATCGTTGGTTGTATACCTAAAACTTTAAACGTATTTTTCTCGAAACTACTTTTTTAAACAATAAGGGGGGCACCTCATGTAATAAAAAAAATCGAAAATTTTTTTTTGCATAATTTAATAATTTAACAATAATAAGATTGAAAGACCGCTAATGTTAAACATAATAATTTTAAATTAAGAAGCGCCATCATTTTTCAGACCGCGTATGTGAGAGACACAACCGATAAATAAGAGCCCTATACGGTCGAAGCTAGATCTTAAAATGCTTTAAATAATTCAATCTGAATTATTTAAATATGAATCACTAAATATGATATATATGTACTTGACATATATACCACAATTATAGTCTAACGAATTGTGCACCGAAATATTTCCGGACTAAACACAATTAAATCACTATAGTAAATTTCGCGAATTAAATTAAATTCTAATAATTTCGATCAGGCATATTTCAAAGATATTAATATGCTGAAAAACTGTAATTAAACTTATTGCGAAAAATATTACCTCGGCCGGGAGTCGAACTCGGATCTCTTGTATTCCGTACTAACGTCCTGAGCCATTAGACCACCGAGGCCTAATATTTATACATATTCATGCATGAAAAATTTCTTATACATGTAATTTAACTATTATTACTGATAAAAGTTGATACAGAATGATTGAAAACGATAGGATTTTTATCAATTTGTATCGTTTTCTATAAGTTTATATCATTTTCTATCTATTAACCTCGCGAGCATCACGATTGATCGATAGGATATGAATCCTATCGTGTTTTATCGGATTTTGTAAGATTTATACAAGATTCCTGTAAGATTTGATTCAAATTAATGAATTTACGAACCAAATTTCATATTTAAAACGATAGGATTTTTCTATCGTTCTCTATCAACGTTTTTACCAGGGCGTAGTGAATGATAAATTTTCTAACTCTTAACAAACTTTAACTTTTTAAATTAATATTTCAATTCACAAGGCAAAACAATGCTTCTTTTTGCTAAATTCGTTTCTTTCGTGTAAAAACACGTCGAATAAGCCTAGTTTTATCGAGGACATGAGGGAACTAAACTTATTTTTATTATTACATATTTTACTTATTTATATTTACTTATGTACTTAATTATATTTTATTTATTTTTTTTATTATATTACCACTGAGGTAAATCTCTTTAAAGGAATGAAATATTGCCACTCTTTTTCAAGAAGTGAAACATTTTCACTCTTTTTCAAAACTAACTGTATTTTCACTCTTTTAGAGTGAGATTTCATTCCAAGAAGTTTGGGAGTAGATACTATCAGACTCGTCACTAAATTAGTCATATAGCCTCGTATTGTGGTTAGCCTACTAGTCCCATCCATTCATTTTATAAAAACATTAACACTATACGATAACAAAGATAGATAAATAAAAAAATTCTGTTGGACTTTACTAAGTAAAAACTACGCTTACTGTCTAAATGGAAATAAAATATCTCAGACAATTATATACGATTGTAAAACAAAAACTTTAAGAATAAAAATGTTTACTTAGGTGTACGATTTTTTAAAATTGTAGCGTAACTTCTATCATAGATGTGTTAGTAACGAAATGTTACAGCAGACTGAGCGGCAGGCGCTGTTGTGTGCTCAGACGGGTGCTTTACGCTTGTCTCGTGTGATTTGTTTGTAACGTAGTCTCGATTATTTTACTTACCCCTATAATTTATTAATCCCGGTCTCCCCTATATATATCAAGTACATATATATCATATTTAGTGATTCAAGATTGAATTATTTAAAGCATTTTAAGATCTAGCTTCGACCGTACAGTACTTTTTTAAAATTGCCGTGCAAGATAACTCAAAAACTATTCATCCGATTGAGCCCTCCCTGCACAGATTTAGATAAATACTTTCCTCACATAAATTGAATCTTTATTTATAATCGTATTGTTTAAATAAATTACTTTTATTACATAACACGAAAATTTTTTGTAAAAATCTAAATTTTTTCTTCTATGTATTGCCATTTTTATAATTTGATATTATTCTCTTTAAAAATAGATTTAATTAATAACCCTACAAAAAAGAAATTATTTTTATTTTTTTTGTTTCGGATGAATACAAGCAGCGTTACATTGCACGCCGTCAACGCCGACGCACAAAAATTAAATTATTATAAATATAAAATTCACATTGTTTTTCTATAAAAAAAATATTTTTTTAGTAGCTCAATATTACAATAACATGTCCTGAAGATTTCAAAAGAATTTGTCGTATAGTCTCCTATTAAAAAATTCCGAAAAATTACGTTATTTTCAGCACGATACATGAGATGCCCCCCTTAATAAATAACAGCTCAAAAGACGCATATAATAATGTACTTTAATAATGTGTGTAAGTTTAAATAAATAAATTAAAAATACGGACTTATCACCTTATTTTCTGAACGCTAAATAACAAGAAAAAAATGTGATTTCACTTTTATGTATTTCTCTGGTTAGCAACGTATTTACGTCGTATCTTTTGTAGTTATATCTTAAAAGGATGACCTTCTGCGTAAAAATTTTATCACGGTGATGTCTTCATCTCTATATTGGAAAAGTACCAAACTAGGATGCGCACAATTACCTGCACACAGTTCCCCCACTTTCCCCTAATTACCAAATTAACTAATAATTTATATCATCGGAACTCTTCGGACACATTCAAAACTACCCGAGAATTACCATAGAACTCTCAATGAGTTTCCATCAAGTGAGACACTAGCTTCACACTCAATCTTTTTATTTTAATCCAAAATACATAATACTTTCATATGCTTGGTTGAAATATAAAATACAAAATATGCTTGTATTGCAAAAACTGTGTTTTAAATAAAAATATTTCTTTACGGCACATAAGTTATTCATTACTTATTACTTTTTTTCAATAAGTAACGTGTAATGATAACAATTATTTTTCGAAGTGACTTTTTTAACCTTAAAGGTTAACCTTGCTTTTTTAACTTCAAAAGAGATCTTAATGTAACCTTAGCGTTTAGTTAGTCATTATTACAGTCATAAAATTTGCAACATCATTATATTAAATTGTTATTATAAAAAGTTTGTTATTATAAAAACTGTAAAAGTAACGTAAAACAAACTCTTCCATTCCCTAATAATTCATATCTACTCATTTGTGATTATCACTTCATGCACTTCCCTTGTTAGTTGTGTTATTCACATATTGGTCTAATATTACTTATTGTTGTAAATTAACCATATTCAAGTTAATAATAACAAAATGTACATTTAAAAGTTAAGAGATTAATTTCAATCCATATGATTTGGGTGCTAAAAGAAAATTTTTTTGCTGGATTTTATTGACTGTTTAGATTTTTACCACGATATGGCAAAGTAATGGAATCACTTATCGATGGCAAGCTAAAAACACATAAACAATATCAAATGATTATCGACGAGTATCGTGCTCAACCAGAGAAAACGGATAATTTCCTTGCGGCTTTCGACGAGGCAATGAATACCAATGCGAATAATGAACACTTTACACAACAGCAATTTTATCATCTACTAGCCGACCTTTATGGTGCAGGCGTCGATACTACTCTTACAACTTTTCGTTGGTTCCTCCTGTTCATGGCAGCATATCCGGACGAACAAGTACGCTTTTATCCTTAAATTTGTTTCTTTTCGTACAAGAGATATCCTTTTAAATGAATATTTTTCTTGATGGAAAGTTATTAATCTATCGTACAATCTCTTCGAATTCTATATGTCCTTGTTTCTGTGCAGAAAAAAATTCAGGATGAAATGAACGAGCTGTTGGGACAAAAGATACCTACTCTGGAGGACAGGCTAATCTTAACTCGATTGGAGGCAGCCATCGCGGAAACGC